GGGTGTCAAAGGGCAGGAAGTTTACAATTTTTGCTGCGTAGACAAGTACGGGTTCACTGAAACATGATTTCTTAAGAATAAAATAGTTTCGTAGACAGGGGTGGGATAACTGAAACACGTTTCATCATTTCCTTTTAATTTTGTTTAGGTCAACAATTTTCCTCCATATTTAATTGTGTAGAACGGAAATGATGACTTGCAAGAATAATTTTGCTTAGATTAGCAATTTGAAACATTTGGAGGAAATTCCGATTTATATTTAAAAGCTGCAAATGGACATCACAATTCTCCAAAAAACCATTAGAAAGTTTTATTATGCTTTTTGATGGCTTTTCATGTTTTTTGGATGCTTTTTGATGGTTTTTTGTTTTGGTCAATAAACCATCAAACATTTTTTTTTTGTGTGTTTTCACATAAAATTGAACATATTCTTAAATACGCCTCTGGCTAGCATTGATCAGGTAAAAAAACATACCAACAAGTGTTCGCCAAAAAAAAAAAAAAAAGCATGAGTAATTTCATGTTAATCAGGGCCGTGCATTTTAGTTGAATGAAATTAAATATCCCGAATAACAATAGATCAATTTTAATGAAACATACTTGGAAATAATCTGTACCTCTGGACGCATCTAATTAATTACGTTTCTTTTTTTTTTTGTGTGTTTTCACATAAAATTCAACATATTCCTAAATACGCCGTTTACAATTTTTGCTGCGTCGACAAGTACGGATTCACTGAAATATGATTTCCTAAGAATAAAATTGTTTCGTATACAGGGGCGGGATAACTGAAACACGTTTCATCATTTCCGTTTAATTTTGTTTAGGTCAACAATTTTCCTCCATATTTAATTGAAATCCAATTCTTTTTATAAACAATATAAAAATATATGTGTAATCAACTATTTTTTATCTGATTCTGTTTCTTGCAAGTCATAATTTCCGTTCTAAGGAAATGATGACTTGTACCCAAACACGTCTCGCCATGCTGAACGAGAACAGCTTTTTGTTGAATTTTGTATGAAAACACACAAAATAAGAAACATCAAAAATCTTTAAAAACCAACAAAAAACCATCAAAAGACACCAAAAACTCATAAAAAACCAACAGAAAAAACCATCAAAAGACACCAAAAAAAGCCATCAAAAACCAACAAACATTTCCGTTCTAAGGAAATGATGACTTGCAAGAATAATTTTGCTTAGATTAGCAATTTGGTACATTTGGAGAAAATTCCGATTTATATTTAAAAGCTGCAAATGGACATCACAACTCACCAAAAAAACCATTAGAAAGTTTTATTATGCTTTTTGATGGCTTTCCATGTTTTTTGGATGCTTTTTGATGGTTTTTTGTTTTGGTCAATAAACCATCAAACATTTTTTTTTGTGTGTTTTCACATAAAATTGAACATATTCTTAAATACGCCTCTGGCTATCATTGATCAGGTAAAAAAACGTACCAACAAGTGTTCGCCTAAAAAAGCATGAGTAATTTCATGTTAATCAGGGCCGTGCATTTTAGGTGAATGAAATTAAAAATCCCGAATAACAATAGATCAATTTTAATGAAACATACTTGGAAATAATCTGTATCTCTGGACGCATCTAATTAATTACGTTTCTTTTTTTTTTGTGTGTTTTCACATAAAATTCAACATATTCCTAAATACGCCGTTTACAATTTTTGCTGCGTCGACAAGTACGGATTCACTGAAATATGATTTCCTAAGAAGAAAATTGTTTCGTATACAGGGGCGGGATACCTGAAACACGTTTCATCATTTCCGTTTAATTTTGTTTAGGTCAACAATTTTCCGCCATATTTAATTGAAATCCAATTCTTTTTATAAACAATATAAAAATATATGTGTAATCAACTATTTTTTATCTGATTCTGTTTCTTGCAAGTCATAATTTCCGTTCTAAGGAAATGATGATTTGTACCCAAACACGTCTCGCGATGTTGAACGAGAACAGCTTTTTGTTGAATTTTATATGAAAACACACAAAATAAGAAACATCAAAAAAAAAACTTCAAAAACCAACAAAAAACCATCAAAAAACACCAAAAAACTATCAAACACCAACAAAAAACAATCAAAAGGCACCAAAAAGTCATAAAAAATCAACAGAAAAAACCATCAAAAGACACCAAAAAACCAACAAAAAACCATCAAAGGACACCAAAAAACCATCAAAAACCAACCGTAAAATAATACACTACACGAAGTAAACAATTTTTATTCCTCAAGCGATTATTTTTTTAATGGTTTTTTATAGAGCTGTATTCGGGTTGAGTTGAAAGTTTTACCTGATTTCGGTAATGTTATAGGTATAATATCAGAAAATATAATAATCGTCCAGAAAGTTCTCCCGCTGTAGAAAATCTCATTAGACAACAATCAGAACTCTTATCTTCTGAAAAATGGCAGAATTGTGTTCGGCATGTTATAAAACTTGAATCAACATTTGTAAATACACGGCCTAACGAAATTATAATTTCAATAAGTAGCGGCTCATCTGAGTCTGAAAGTGACTTATAATAATCTTATAAATATTATTTAACTAATACAATTTGTCTTTTATTTCACCTTATTTTTTTAACAGATTACGGCCCTGAAAAATTCTGTCGGAACGTGCCGATATCTGGTTGCATAGGGTGTTAAAAGCAATAAATTACTGTTGCCATTTTGCAGGGGTTTCACTCATTATCTGTCGTAAAGTTTTATGTGGGTATTTCTTGAATGAAATTTGTATACCTGTCTACGCAGCAAAAACTGTTAATCCAAGCAAAATTATCCTTACAAGTCATCATTTCCTTATAACGGAATTGATGACTTGCAAGAAATAGAATCAAATAAAAAAAATAGTTGATTACACATATTTTAATATTGTTTATAAAAAGAATTGGATTTCAATTAAATATGGCGGAAAATTGTTGACCTAAACAAAATTAAACGGAAATCATGAAACGTGTTTCAGTTATCCCGCCTCCATCTACAAAACAATTTTATCCTTAAGAAATCAAGAAACGGAAATAATTAGATGCATCCAGAGACACAGATCATTTCGAAGTATCTTTCATTAAAATCGATCTATTGTTAATCGAGATATTTAATTTTATTCACTTAAAATGCAGGGCTCTGCTTAACATGAAATTATTCATGCTTTCTTGACAAACACTTCTTGTTGGTACGTGTTTTTCGCTGATCAACGCTAGCCAGAGGCGTATTTAAACATATCATTGAGAATTGCATACCAATTATTTGTGAATTCAATATTCATGTTGTCGTAGGGATACGGTATCATTAAGGTACAATTTTACATCTCTCAGATTACAATGAATATATTGACTGTAGTTTCACTTTTCATCATTTCCGTTTAATTTTGATTAGGTCAACAATTTTCCGCCATATTGAATTGAAATCCAATTCTTTTTATAAACAATATAAAAATATGTGTGTAATCAACTATTATTTCTATCTGATTCTGTTTCTTGCAACTCATAATTTCCGTTCTAAGGAAATGATGACTTGTACCCAAACAAACACGTCTCGTGATGCTGAACGAGAACAGCTTTTTGTTGAATTTTATATGAAAACACACAAAATAATAAACATCAAAAAAACTTCAAAAACCAACAAAAAACCATCAAAAGGCACGAAAAAACCATCAAAAACCAACAATAAACCATCAAAAGACACGAAAAAACCAACAAAAACCAACAAAAAAATCATCAAAAGACAGCAAAAAGCCATAAAAAACCAACAAAAAAAACATCAACAGACACCAAAAAACCATCAAAAACCAACAAAAAAACTATCAAAAGACACCAAAAAACTATCAAACACCAATAAAAAACCATCAAAAGACATCAAAAAGTCATAAAAAACCAACAGAAAAAACCATCAAAAGACACCAAAAAACCATCAAAAACCAACAAAAACCATCAAAAACCAACCGTAAAATAATACACTAAACAAAATAAACGATTTTTATTCCTCAAGCGATTATTCTTTTTTTTGTAATATTTCCGAATACGTCCCTGTCAATGAGATAACAGCGTCCATTTTCGTAAGAATTTGCTGAAACGGCATCGCGTTATTTATTTCTTTGTTGTAACAATGACGGGCGGCGTGTTTCGGAATTTTACCGTGGAAAGATTCGTAATTATTTGAGAAAAAAAGGTGGTTTTGTTGCACTAAATGGTGGCTTCTGTGATGTGTGTGCGTGTATATGCATGTTTTCGAGGGAGAACGGATAATTTTATTGCCTGTTGTCAATGCCGTAAGTAATTTTTTTTTAATTTCAAACAACATACTCGCCTTCCGACATTTGATCTTTTATTCTAATAATCACGGACGTGTTTTGCATAATTATTTTTACGTTGAATTGATTGTAACGTACGAGATTTCGAGTGCAAAGAAGCTTAAATCGGCAGAAAGTTGCTGATGAACATTTATTTATGAAGACAATATCTGGAATTTTGTCGGAACAAACACGGCTTTTATTCGTTGCGGTTATTCGCAATTAAATAATTTTATATGAGACTGGGGAAAATAATACACCAAACGAAATAAATAATATTTATCATAATTTCAATTACAGCTTAAGGTTATACAAACAAGTTCGTACTTTATACCTTTTAAGAAACTAATAAGTTTTAAATTTAAATCTGGTTTAACCGCAATATGCACAGTTATTTAACTGATTTTCTTTGCTGAATAATTTTTAATTCTGAATCCAATTTGTCGATTATTTTTCTAAATTTTCCCTTCTTCTCCATCATTTTTTCGATTAAGGGCTTTATTTGCAATTCGAAACGTTCCACATTCATTTGAAATCTTTTAACATCGTATAACCAAGTATTAATTCGGCTTTCTTTATCATTTATTAAGAAAATAACCTGAACTTTGTCGAAACAAACACGTCTTTTATTCATGACGGTTTGCAATCAAATATTTTTTACATCAGACTGGGGAAAATAATACACCGAACGAATTAAATTATATTTATTACAATTTCTGTTACAGCTTTAGATTATTCAATTTAGTCCTTATTTCATACATTTCAGTTGCTTCTTTTAAAGAACTAATTCGTTTTAAATGTAATTCTAATCTACGACGAAGCAGTCTAACTGCACTTGATTTGTTTTCCACATGAACCAATGCCTTCTTCATTCTTCGATACATTCGATATTGATGGTTTGACCGATCGGACCTCTATTTACCAAGTACAACTTCAAACCGTTCACGATTTTCTGGTGCAGATCGCTGAAATTATTGTTTACTTATATATTTGTTAAATGTCGCATGGTAGGCGTTTAAGGCTGTTCCGTCTAAAAAAACAGGGACCTATCTAACTTTGGGACATAGGTCTCGTTGTCCCAGTTTTCCACTTGCGGTGGTGTTGGCGTTGGTTTGCTGAACCACTTTGATGGTGGTGGGTGTGGTGTAGATGGTTTGGGAAGTGCAGTCTCCAAGAGTTTCCGCTCCCTTTCCCAGGTATCCCGGTGACATTTGAAAATATGCTTTCTCAGCCTATTCTATAAAAGTCTGTGGCTGGCAACATAGGGGCAGATAACAAATTTTTCTACTGAAACAAAATTTTTTAGAACTTTAAATACTACAAAAAGTATATATAAGCTTACACATTTCTGTCGTTAATTAATTATTATGTTATATACTTGCAGGATACTTATTAATCTGTTCTTGTGTGTGATCTTTAATTTATACACTATATTAATCCCCACCCCTACTTTTTCCCCCCATTTTTATTATAGTGTAGGTTTTCTTGAGAACTCTAAAGTTGATGATTCAGTTGCTTTCCTCATGTTTCATTCTTCGCTGACTTGAATTTATTTAAATAGTTGATTACACACATATTTTTATATTGTTTATAAAAGGAATTGGATTTCAATTAAATATGGCGGAAAATTGTTGACTTAAACAAAACTAAACGGAAATGATGAAACGTGTTTCAGTTATCTATGAAGTAATTTTATTCTTAAGAAATCATGTTTCAGTGAACCCGTACTTGTCTACGTAGCAAAAATTGTAAACTTCCTGCCCTTTGACACCCTCAAGCGATAATTCTTCTTTTTCCAAATACGTCCCTGACTAATGAGATAAAAGCGTCCAATTCCGTAAGAATTTGCTGAAACAGCATCGCGTTCGCTAGCCAGAGGCGTATTTAGGTATATGTTGAATTTTATGTGAAAACACACAAAAAAAGAAACGTAAATAATTAGATGCATCCAGAGATACAGATCATTTCGACGTATGTTTCATTAAAATCGACCGTTTGTTATTCGAGAAATTTAATTTTATTCACCTAAAATGCACGGCTCTGGTTAACATGAAATTATTCATACTTTCTTGACGAACACTTGTTGGTACGTGTTTTAGCTGATCAACGCTAGCCAGAGGCGTATTTAGGAATATGTTGAATTTTATGTGAAAACACAAAAAAAATTTTTTTTTTTTCGGGTTTTTTGATTAAAACAAAAAACCATCACAAAGCATAAAAAAAAACACCAAAAGCCATCAAAAAGCATAAAAAAAGGTTTTTAATGGTTTTCTTGATGAGTTTTGATGTGTTTTTTCCGTTTTTAAATATAAATCGGAATATTCTCCTAAGGTATGAAATTGCTGATCTAAGCAAAATTATCCTTGCAAGTCATCATTTCCTTAGAACGGAAATATTGACTTGCAAGAAATAGAATCAAATAAAAAAATAGTTGATCACACACATATTTTTATATTGTTTATAAAAAGAATTTGATTTCAATTAAATATGGCGGAAAATTGTTGACCTTCACAAAATTAAACGGAAATGATGAAACGTTGTACCTGTCTACGCAGCAAAAATTGTTAATTTAAGCAAAATTATCCTTACAAGTCATCATTTCCTTATAATTTCAATTAAATATGGCGAAAAATTGTTGATCTAAACAAAATTAAAGGGAAATTATGAAACGTGTTGCAGTTATCCCACCCCTATCTACGAAACAATTTTATTATTAAAAAATCATGTTTCAGTGAATCCGTACTTGCCTACGCAGTAAAAATTGTAAACGGCGTATTTAGGAATATGTTGAATTTTATGTGAAAACACACAAAAGAAAGAAACGTAAATAATTAGATGCATCCAGAAACACACATCATTTCGACGTGTGTTTCATTAAAATCGATCTATTTTATTCACCTAAAATACACGGCTCTGCTTAACATGAAATTATTCATGCTTTCTTGACAAACACTTCTTGTTGGTACGTGTTTTTAGCTGATCAACGCTAGCCAGAGGCGTATTTAGGAATATGTTGAATTTTATGTGAAAACACACAAAAAACGTTTTTTTGATGGTTTTTTGACCAAAACAAAAAAACTTCAAAAAGCATCAAAAAAACATCAAAAGCCATCAAAAAGCATAATAAAGGTTTTTAATGGTTTTTTGATGAGTTTTGATGTCTTTTTGTCGTTTTTAAATATAAATCGGAATAAGGGGCAATTCTGAATCATAGTTGTTAAATTTAAAGGGTGTTAAATTGCAAATTTCCATAGTAACGAGTTAAATCCGTAAATCTGATTGCCTGTTTATTTTTTTTTCAACCTTTAAATTTTAACGGGTTTGATTCAGAATTGGGCCTATCTCCTAATGTATGAAATTGCTAATCTAAGCAAAATTATTCTCGCAAGTCATCATTTCCTTAGAACGGAAATGATGATTTGCAAGAAATAAAATTAAATAAAAAAAATATTTGATTACACACATATTTTTATATTGTTTATAAAAAGAACTGGATTTCAATTAAATATGGCGGAAAATTGTTGACCTAAACAAAATTAAACGGAAATGATGAAATGTTGTACCCGTCTACGCAGCAAAATTTTTAATCTAAGCAAACTTATCCTTACAAGTCATCAATTCTTGAGAACGGAAATGATGAAATAGAATCAAGTAAAAAAATAAAATGAAATAGAATCAAGTAAAAAAAAAAAGTTGACTACACACATATTTTTTTACTACGCAGTAGTTTAACCGCAATATCCCTATGCATATTTCGAAACAGTTGATTTTCTCTGAATCTAATTTCTCGATTGCTTCTCAAACTTTTCGCATCTTCTCCATCATTTTTTCGATTAAGGGCTTTATTTGTATTTCGAAACGTTCATTTGAAATCTCTTAACATCGTATAACCAAGTATGATTTCGGCTTTTTTTATCATTTATTAACAAAATAACCGAAACAAACACGTCTCGCGATGCTGAACAAAAAAGCCATAAAACACCAACAAAAAAACATCAAAAGACACCAAAAAACCATCAAAAACCAACAAAAAACCATCAAAAGACACCAAAAAACCATCGAAAACCAACAAAAACCATCAAAATACACCAAAAAGCCATAAAAAACCAACAAAAAAAAAAAACATCAAAAGACACCAAAAAAAAAATATCAAAAGGCACCAAAAAACCATCAAAAACTAACCGTAAAATAATACACCAAACGAAATAAACAATTTTTATTCCTCAAGCGATTATTCTTTTTTTTGTAATATTTCCGAATACGTCCCTGTCTATTTAGATAAAAGCGTCCAGTTCCGTAAGAATTTGCTGAAACAGCATCGCGTTATTTAATTCTTTGTTGTAATAATGACGGGCGGCATGTTACGGTTTATGAATTTTACTGTGAAAAGATTTGGGAAAAAGGTGGTTTTGTTGAACTAAATTGTGGCTTCTGTGAAGTGTGCGTGTGTGTATATGAATGTTTTCGAGGGAGAACGGATAATTTTATTGCCTGTTTTCAATGTCGTAAGTAACAATTTTTTTAATTTTTAACAACACACTCGCCTTCTGACATTTGAGATTTTATTCTAATAATTACGGACAAATAAGCTTAAATCGGCAGAAAGTTGCTGATGAACATTTATTTATTAAGAAAATAACAGGAGTTTTGTCGGAGCAAACACGGCTTTTATTCGTTGCTGTTATTCGCAATTAAATAATTTTATATGAGACTGGGGAAAATAATACACCAAACGAAATAAACAATATTTATTATAATTTCAATTACAGCTTAAGACTATACAAACTAGTTCGTATTTTATACATTTTAAGAAACTAATAAATTTTAAATTTAAATCTAATTTACGACGCAGTGGTTTAACCGCAATGTGCACAGTTATTTAACTGATTTTCTTTGCTGAATAATTATCAATTCTGAATCCAATTTTTCGATTGTTTCTCTAAATTTTCCCTTCTTCTCCATCATTTTTTCGATTAAGGGCTTTATTTGCAATTCGAAACGTTCCACATTCATTTGAAATCTTTTAACATCGTATAACCAAGTATTAATTCTTTATCATTTATTAAGAAAATAACCGGAACTTTGTCGAAACAAACACGTCTGTTATTCATGACAGTTTGCAATCAAATATTTTTTAAATGAGACTGGGGAAAATAATACATCCAACGAATTAAATAATATTTATTATAATTTCTATTACAGCTTAAGATTATTCAATTTAGTTCTTATTTCATACATTTTAATTGCTTCTTTTAAATAACTAATTCGTTTTAAATGTAATTCTAATCTACGACGAAGCAGTCTAACTGCACTTGATTTGTTTTCCACATGAACCAATGCCTTCTTCATTCTTCGATAAATTCGATATTGATGGTTCGACCGATCGGACCTCTATTTACCAAGTACAATTTCAAGCCGTTCACGATCTTCTGGTTCAGATCGCTGATCACTGAGTCGGTGAATTTTTCGGTAAATCTCTGTGGAAGTATCGTTCTAGACTCTTCAAGTTCCACAAATATCTTGTCACCGTACTTTGTAGAGAGTTTACTAAAATTTTTTGTTAAGAATTTTTTATTTTGTTCTAAAGTTTTCGCACTCACAAAAGCTTGCAAGTGAGACTCTTTATTCAAGGTTGAAATGAAAGATGACATTTCTAAGTGTTAAATAATTGAATTCAAAAAACTAATTAATTCCTACAGACGAATCCATCGACTTTTATACAAGTATAAAACGGAAGTGGGGATGCGAGATTGCGTCCGAGATCCCTCCCCGACCTAAACGAAAAGAGGGGATAGATCTCGAGATGAACGAGGGCAATAAACGACCAAGGTCGAGCAACGACTAGGCCAATGATCGCCCGATGAAAAGTAATGGGGGAGCTGGACCAGCTGGCAAGGTCAGCCACGTGCACCGACAAGCTCGACAACAAATGAAAGGTCAATGACCGCTCGATGAAAAGTAATGGGGGAGCTGGACCAGTTTGACCTCATTTGACCTGGTCTAGAACCCCCACTATATAACTACTTTAACGGGACGGAGTCTGCCCGCAGCAAAACATTCGAACACAATTTATCCATAGGCTACATCCAAAAAAAAACAACAATTCGAAATTTTGTTTGGTAATTTCAACACAAATATCACAAACAATGTTGAAAATGGCAGAAAACAGCATGGAAACTATTTACTTGTTGAATAAACTGAAATGTCTGAATTGTTAAAATTATTAAATACATTCCATAAACTTTTTTTATTTTAACTCAGCCATGTACATATATGTATGTATCATAATTATTAATTAATAAAAGCTACTATTTTGTCTCTACAATGTCATCTACACTGTTTATACCTTTAGACGAACAACATAAAGTACAGAAGTACTCATT